GCCAGTAACACGGTGTATACCACAGTAATGAGCGCTGCACTTCCAGATAAGTACCAGACGTGGATCAGAACTGACACGTGAAGAGGTGTAAGTAGTGTGCTGATACTCCCAGGTACCTGTACTTAAATGAAAATGTCAGCTGAAGAGTCATTGAGGGGCAAAGCACTGCCGTGGCACTCAGGTGACTTAGTCTGAATTCCTGCTTCTTCTCTTGGTTTGCTTATCAACCTTGGGTAAATACCTTCCCTTGTTGTTGTAATGATCAGCAAGTGTTGACTTTCCTTGCAAAACTCTTGGAGGTTATCATAGGAAAAGTGCTTTCCCAGAGAGGAAGGGTTGGCTGCCGTTGCGACTTAAAGGGAGAGGTTTCCTCTGTCCACATTCTCACCATTATTTTTGCCAGTCTCCCCACTCCTACTTGCATGCCTGCAGGTGGCTGACTGTGATGGAAGGCCCTGCCCGGGCCAGCCTAATTGCAGCAGGAGAGGTTGGTGCACTTGGCTCCAAGAAAGATCAAGCTTAATTTGTGACAGCCCCTCGCAGGCAACATCCTTTGAGGGGCTTGTCCTGTGAACTTGCAGAAAAAGCCAAAGCACCTAACCGCACAGAGTGCCTCACATGGTAGCTTTAATGTGTTCAGAGAAAGACATTGTGTTATGTTATTTCTGTTCCAAGAAGCTCTGGTTGTGTGGTCTTGGCAGGAGCATGAGAAGCTCCTGTTCCAGTTTAAATAGTTTTTAAAATTACAACTAGTATTATATTTGTGGCAGTTACATTGGACATGTGATTTCAGCAAGGGCAGTTCTGTTCTCGTAGAGATTCTGACAAGTTTGGTTTTTAATTCGATACAAACCTGTGCTCTCTTATTAATCTTTGTTTGTTTTGGTTTTTTTAGTTCAACAGACAAAGTGAGTGAAAAGCTGAAGCTTTCCAAGACCAGAGTATGCTTTTAAAATCACTCTCACAAGCAGTACAGTTGTTCTGGCTTATTAATTATGTGAACCTTTGAGGAAATAATGGCTTGTCAGCTCTTTGAAGTGTTGCAGATGATACTGTTGATGAACTGTAATGGATGTTTGACTGAATTTATTGTTCTAGCAGGTGTCGATGGCTAAAAATTGCTTTTACTGTTTTTGGAAAGGGTTGTGAAACTTAAATGTATTTATGTGCTGACTAATAAATAAAAAATCATGTATTTTGCATGGCCTGTAGGTTTGAATGTAGTGAAATAAACATATGCAGCTGATTGCTATTTTTGTTTGTTGGGTTGTGCTGTGACTGCATATTGAATTTGGACACTTGGGAGCACCCCAGAAATACTGAAGGATTTAAAGAGTCAATACCAGTGGATACCTTTAGATAAAGCTCAGAGGTCCCATTTTTCACTGGACAAAGTTCCTGCTACTGCCAATGAGGATTTTCCCTGAGAGAAGGATGTGTGATCAGAGTTAGGTTGGAGCACTGTTTCCAGGTACGTGCAATGTTGCCTTGCAGTAGTTGTCCACTGGTTATGCAAACAATTCCTGTGACAGCTTTCTGGAGCTGTGGGCCCTTTATCTCCTTCAGCTGAGTGTAATAACCTATTTACCTGCATCCTCTACTTCTGCCAAGATAAATGCGCTGCCAGCTTTACCTTGTCTCAGCTTGTATAACTATGTTAGGAGTCGTGTGCTGGAACGATACGTTTGAAAAAGAGGGAATTTTAGGAGGAAGATGTAAGTAACAGTGGTCATGATGTCCCTGAGATTCCAGGATGACATTGCTGTAATTTACAGAGCAGGGGTTGACTCAGATCCCAGCAGTTTATGTAACAGCCACCCACAAGTGAAGACAAAGGATCCTTACAGGTGTAACGTTGTCTTGACCTCAGCAGTGTTAGGCTGATTATCTTCTCAGTGGTATATAAACTTAATCAGGTGTATTTGTTTTGATGTGTACAAACACCTCTGGAGTGTGTGAATATTTGGTAGCCATGAATATTCAGGATGCAATTGGCTGCTCCTATTGGGTTTTTGTTTCATCAGCTCTTCAGAACATGCTCAGGCCCAGCCACAGCACAGATTAGGGAAATGTGTGTTTTTCTGAGATTTAAAAAAAAAAAACAAACTAGATTTGAACAAGTCTTTATTTTATTTTGGGCTTTTTTCCTTTTATTTTCTTAAAGGCTTGCTTTTAATCCATCTATAAACATCCAGACATTCAGACTGCTAACAGAATAAAGCCTTTATGCCAGCTGGGATACTGGTGGTTTTGCTAACCGTAACTTTCTGGTCTTAGTGCTGATATTTTCAGTTCGTCATTAAACTAAGAAAGTCATAAATGACACATCTTAGAAAAAAGGTGATTTAACCTGTGAAACGTGTTGAGCTGCTTTTGCTTAAGAATTGAAATGTGATAAAAATGCAGAGAGGATTGTTAATATATTGAAATAGAACCATCTGAACAATAGTGGGACTATTAAAAGGTAACACTGGTTTTGGAGGGATTGGATGTTTTGTGGGATCTTTTCTTAAAAAAAAAAAAAAAGGATCCTGTGTAGGTATTTGAGTTTGCTGGCGGATCATCCTTCTGTGTGAGATTTCATCTGCCTTTTAGAGACTGAGAGGTAAAACAGCTTTTCTGCTTTCTCAAGCCTGTTCAGATTCGTGACTTAGAATTGTGAAGTAATTAAACAGAACTAAGTTAAATACATTCATCCTTGCTTTTTCCATCCTTCTGTTTCTGCAGTACAGAGCTACAAAGCCCCCTTTTTCATCCCAGCATAGGTAATGTGTGAAACCTTTAATCCTTTTTCCTCCAGAAGTTTGCATTTAGCAAAAAGCAAATTGAAAGCATGCAAGAGCTGACTCTCAAGATGAGAGAGGCCAATGCACTGTATTTCTCATTCATAATCCTCTTCGGTAATCCTAATCCATATCAGATCTCCAGCCTTTCTTAAGCATCACATGGGAGAGGATTCTTAAAGCTGCTGAGAAGAACCATGCGGTAAATAAATCGAAGGGTCTGTGTGTGTTGCAGAGCAGCACACACGTTCTGCACTGCAGGTGCTGGCAGGCATGGCTCTCTGTGCTGTGTGCCCAAGGGAGCAGCTTCCTTGATTATTTATGGTCTGAGGAGGAGTTTCTGAATCTCTAATCAAGTGAATCACTTCAGAGCTTATTGATCACTCAGGGGGCTGGAGAGCTTCTATTGTGTCTACCTTAATAAACGCATAAACTAGAAATTGATGGCAAGGTAAGTTGTGTTTCTATTTCTCTGTAACAATGTTTTGTGTTCAGAAGTAGTTCCTCAGCACCCATAGTTTGAAAGGAAATAGCCTTTTTATACATCAAGCTGTGTAAGACTGAGGTTCTCCTTTTTGGCACTGCAGTAAGTGTGCAGGTGCAGAGGTCGGTACGTGTGTAAATAAAACAAAACAAGCTTCACCATCTTGTTTCCAGCTGCACAAAGTGCCGAGTCTGATGTACACGTGGGATATACACAGACACTTCCTTTAGGAGGGCAAGGCAGGACCATCACTTTCTTTCGGGCTAGTTGGCAGTTTTGTTCTTGGAGGAAGTATTTTTTTTTTTTCTTGATTCATTTGTAGCTGTGCAGCCACATGCTGCAGGTTTTCTTTTAGCAGACCTTAGGATTTCTGTTTCCCTCCGACATCTCTCAGTTTTCCTAGTAAACTTTTAGTCAGCCTGTTGTACTCTTTCATTGCCTTCCTATTCTGCTCATCTTTTCCCTCAGTTGTTTGAATGTCTATGAAATTGTCAAGTTAGTGCGGATTCAGTTGTACACATGATACATGAAGTGTGTCATCTTACTGAGTGAGGTGGTGTTCCTTGCAGGAAGCCTTCAATTCATATGGCTGAAGCACCAGATTCTGTACAGATCTGTGATGTGGACAAGCTCAGGGGTGTGACAGTCTGTAGGATTTGATTCAAAATGCTGTCACGTGCTTTGATTTTGAAGGAGTTAAAGTAGTATTTACAGTAAGCCTGGAGATTTACCCAGGCTTTTGTTGTGCTTGTTTTGGGGTGGCTGACACAAATGGATTTGTGCTAGTTTTCCTTTATTGAGTTTTATGTGGTATTATATGGTATTATTAAAGGAGTCAGTAGCTTATGTTTTAAAAGTTGCAAACTGAGTATATTGCCTGTGGGTGTGGAGGTGTATGTGAAGTCTGGCTGTTAAATGTTTCTCCCACCTTTAGAACGCAAACTCTGGTGAATGGGGAACGTGAATCTTTTCTATATGCCTGCAAGCTTCTGCTGAGGCACTGAACTCTGTTGTTCTGTTTGTTGTCTCTGATCATGTGTGACCCTAAAGTCCATGGGTTTTTAGGTGATGCTCTACGAGGTGGCGTGTACCTCACATGAATGTGCTGCAGCTTCTCAGGGAGAAACACCGGGGAAAATGTAAATACCTCTGCAGGAGGCAGTGGTGGCCAAGAGCAAGATGAGGGAGGGGAGTAGTCGGCATCATTTTGCCATCATAGTTGTTTAATACAGCCTGTATCTGAGGCGATGGTAGTACAGGATTGCTGGGTTTTCTCCAGAGGAACGATGTCTGACCGTGAGTGATATTCTGGTTGTCCTCAAAGTAAAAGATTTCAGAATTTGACCTGATCTTGGAATAGCATCTGTTTGCTCTGACCAGAGCTTTCCACAGCAGTGATGTTACAGAAGCTTGGCTGTCTATCCTTTTATACAGGCAAGTGATGGGACCTGAGCAGTTAATGGTATAATACGCTCCCACACTCAAGCAGATCCACAAGGTGAAGGAAAGCAGTGTTTAAAAAAACTGATTAATTTCTTACGATAGCTAATTGTTATTTTAGACTTAGTCCCCTCTAGCTGTGCTACTGCAAATAGATTTACACACCATCTCTGTGTCTATCCATCCTAATGAGAATTATCTTTCATGGATGGCTATATGCATGAATATTTGTCTGTATATACTGATGGTTAATGAATCAACTTAATGACTTCTACACAGAAGACAAGAAAGTAGCTGGAAAACCTGGTAGTGGAAGATGTACTTGGGCACAAGACAGGCCACCTGCTCGTTGATCTCGAGCATTAATATATTTAATTACAGATTTTCAGCACTGTGGGACATGTTGCAGCTGTCTTGATTCTGACTGGATGGTCTTTCCTGCATCTCTCTGGTGATTTTGGAGGTACCGGACCAGACTGCAACGTTCTAGAGCATTGGTTAGAGAACATGGGATCTGGTAGTTCTGGAAATGCCAACTACAAGTACTCCCTGCAGAAGTCTGAAAAGGGTGAGTGTCTCTTTGAAAAGTGATCTCTTCCTGTCTGCTCCTGCACCTGCCGTTGGGAGGTTGCAGTGGATCTGTTTCTTTACTGAGTTACCTGGTTTTCTTCATGGTATTGAGTTTGAGGTTATGTCTTTCAGTATCCTGTAACAAGGAGTCTCAGCCGTCAGGCAGACTACCAGCAGACTTGAGAAAATAACAGCTATTTAGACTAGGATTAGATGAGAATCAACCAAAACCTGACCAGAAATGAAGCAGCAAAAAGCCATTCGGTTAGAACTAACATTGAAGGATTATCAGTTGCTGGCTCTCAAAGCTGTAATGATTTATTTTTATGAAACCCTCTGTATGATAGTACCAACTTTGTGGGTGTGTGCTTAGGTCTGCTGTGGAACAAAGGGAGATTATGAGTGAAACTTTACATATAAGGAAGTGTAAAGAAGTAAACGATTTCTTCCTTTGTTGTTTGAATCACTTGGCTTTGGCAGAACAGCAGAATGGTGAAAACTGCAGGAGCTTTGGAAAGAAAAGTAGTGACTGCACATAAAAATTAAGGAAGTGGGGATACCATTGTGACTCAGTCTTTTTGATTGTAGTTTTATTTTGTTTAAAATCTCCCTTCAACTTCTATTTAAGTAAGTTAAACCTGTCTGTTGCCCATAGCGCCAGAGAACCACAGGCCGCCCAACAATTTCAGGACTGTTTTATGATAATGGCTTGTCTATAGCAAAAAAAGTATACCATAAAACTAGTTACTTATTTGAAACTCTGCATGAGACCTGCTACCCCATCAACAGCTTCCCATAGCAGTAAAACCTCTCTGAATTTCCCGCATCTCGTTCTCCAGACCCTTCAGATTTGGTGATCTGCAGATGTGGAGCTGCTTAGAAGTTTCCATCCAAGTACAGAGTGCCAGGTGCTGTCCTATCCCCAGCCCAGAGGCTGTTCCCAATAGAAAGCATAACCAACAGAGCTCTGTCCCTTGAGGGGCCTGAGTGAGGAAGGGGATGGGGAACCCAAGAGAGGGTTCCTCAAGCCTAGATCCTATAAGCTGATGCGTGAACTGCACTGCTAGCATGAATAGCAGATTTTAGTTTGAGTACTGCCACTTTGGCATGCTTTCAGTAGCTTATGTGATGATGTATGATTCCGTTTACTGCTTGGATCCCCATAAAATGTGGATAAATCTCTTTCTCTTCCTTCTTTATTCTTTTTTTCTAAACTAGTACAAACACTGCCAGATGAAACTCACCCAGGTAAGCTGGTGAATTACAATACCTGGCTTTTTCAGTTGCAGAGTCAGTCTCTGTAAAATTGCATAAAAATCCAATGCATTGCCCATCTGGAGTTTAAAATGCTGTGGATGGTGGTAGATATGCTCACTGTGTGTTTGATAATGAGTCTTTCATAGGTTTGATTTTTAGTATTTCAAAGGATCTAGCTTTTATTGGTGTATGTGGAGTCATAGCTATGAATTTCTGTTCGGTATTCACTTGAAATACATCTGACTCCTACCACAGTCATTAGGGGAATGCAAGATATTTAGAAGTTGTTTATTTTAGAGAATGATTGCTACTGTGATTTTGGTTATGTGCCAGCCGAATTACTGCATGGGGAGTGAGGTAGCTAGTGTTGGGCCTGTTACAAGAGCCTTGAAGAGGCTCTTATAAGCCTTCAAACTGCAGGAAAAAAAGTCAGCCTTTCTTTTCTCACAGCACAGCAAATCAGTATGCATTTTTTTCCCCACGAGATATAAGGCTCAAGCAAAGACTACCTAAGTTATTCTTGAATTAAGGCTAGCCAAGTCTTACCTTCTTGCCCCTGACTTCACTGTGACTCAGTTTCCCAGCTGCACAACAGTGATAGCTCTTCATGTTTTGTGCTCTTCAGCTCCTACTCCTGTAACAGTAATATAATTTAGCAGGATTATTATTTTCCATACGTAAGACATCAGGATATCTTATTTAGGTGAAGGTCAATGTTTCCTGCT